TGTTGCAAGGTCAAAGAGTAGCAGAATTATTCGTACTGAGTTAGTCTGTGCCCGAAAAACGGATACACGATCATCATTTGGCTGAAGCGGACCAAAAGAGGACCAGAATCACATGAATTTTATAAGTACATATCCGGAAAAATATTCGTTGAATGATTTTTCGGAGCGTTTTCATGATGGTGCAAAGAATAGCAGGTAGAAACTTCCACATGTTTTCACAACTTGCTGTTTTATAAATCGTGAGTTAAACATACATAGCTACAAACTTTAGGTGTAGGCTAACTGAGATGTTGGACAGCAGGTTCAAATAAAAACTCGCGCTAAAAGGTTACCAAGCCGCAAACTAACAAACAGCATGTGACCTGGTGAGCTCTACATGTTCATGTTCATGTTCATTTTGCAATTATAGCAGTGAAAAAAAAGGGCGCGGTCCTGGGTCAAAATTGTAATGTTCAAAAACAATAGTTTTTTGTTTTTGTTTTTTAATCTCAACACTGGCATGCTAATGAGCTTAGACAAGAGAATAGAACAGTCTATATTCTCTTTCCTTAGCGGTGTTTTTTACAGGGAAGAGTGCCCGTCATTTTCTCTACTGATGAAGGATGCCTCATTCAACACTCGGCACTAATATTACTGATCTATAGATTTTAGTCTACTTAAAATAAACATTGAAGAATATTTGGCATTTCATAACGTTAGAACCAGTAATTTAAAGTTTCTGAAGACCAAGTAAGCAGATGTAGGTGATCTGTCGCTCTTATTTCCTAACGAACAAAGACTTTCCAGAAATCATCAGAGGACAGCGCAAAAAATTCTGAACCAGACTTCTTGAAGTCGTCGCACTCCCATCTTTGACTCCCATCTGTCAAACGCCAGTGAGTAGCCCCCGGTAAAAATAAAGGATGATCGTTTAACCTTTGCTGTGCGACGCTTGCTAATCCCCACTTCATATCTCTCCATCGACGACAACTTGCAGTTGTTCTGGAGTTATCATCTTCCATTCTTTTAAACGAGCCACAGCCTAAGGGGCGGGAATCCATCTGACCACTGAAATACTGGACTACAGCTTCACCAGAGCTGTTAGCAGCGGTAGTCACGTGGATTGTACGTCCTTTTTGTTTACTGCAATGAAATCTCAGTTGAGTGAAGGACAAGTGTGTTCTCAGTTCTTTCATGGCATCCGTCGTGATAAACAACGCCTTGTTGTCGCGACAGTTGCTGATTTCACGGTAAGAAGACTCAATCGAAAGCTGTCGCGAGGACGGGTCGTCTACCACAACGTTAGAAACAAGAAGCCAACCTCCTGAAACAAATTTATGATTTTAAATATCTTATGACAAATCAAAGAAAACATAGAATTGATTTGTTTTATCATATAAACTACGGTGCTATACAAGGATTTCCAGCCCTGAGAAAAGCCATAATAACACACATGAGAAAAATATCGTATTTTTTCACGTGTGTTTGATATCGCCAATCAGCGTCATCCGCCTTTCGTGCCACTCGATCAGGTTGATGAATGAACAGCAGAGCCATCACCATTCTCAATCCAAGGTCGTTTGTCGCAATTTTTCGGATTATGGCTGCTAAAACACTGAAAAATCCGTATCGCTTACAGACAGTGACGTTCAAACTTTCCTAGAAGGGGAAGAAAACCAAAATACGGAAAGAAAAACAGAAAGTTACGTATTCAGTGGCTTTGGTAATGGCATTTCTCGCGGCTGATATCGACAACTGGAAGATTTGCCACGGGCCGATTTTGGGCGTGTACCTGAAAGATCTTTTCTGTCGGTAAGGAAAAAGTCAATAATTGAGAATTTTGAGAATTACGATTTTTATTCGGGGATTGTCGATCCTTTATTTTCATTCATTAATCAGGTTGACTTTTCATGTCAGTAAAGGGCTATTGTGTTCATATGATAAACAAATCGATACAAGGTTACTTGTAGACATGAAATTTCTTTTCTCGTGTTCAACTCGACATTCGCTGCGCTCACTCGTGAGCTATCGAGTTAAACACTCGGAGAGAAATTTCTATATCTACGCGCGCCCTTGTATTATTCGCAATTTATCAACTAAATTGATAATGAAATTGGCTGCTGCAGAGAAATTCTAAAGCTGACGTTTCGAGCTACAGCCCATCGTCAGAGCGAAGGGCTAACGCTTAGAAAGTCAGCTATAGAATTTCTCTGCAGTGACCAATTTACATTTTAAACTCAGCTGATAAACAAATTTATCCTACAAATACCCCCCCGCCGACGCAGCACCACCTTTCAAACATTGATTTGATGCACTAAGCATTCATTCGATACTTTTTTCACTCTGAGTGTAGTATCTGAAGAACGTAGTAACAACTTTCTTCAAAGTGTTTATCTTTATATTGTCATTGTTGCTCCATGTCTTACCTCCGTCAGTTGTCATGTCACAGTAGACCTTTATAGGCTTTCCGT